ATCCCGACGTGAACGCGAGGCCCATCGTGCGGGCCGATTGCATCAAGTTCGTCCACACCTTCCGGAATCAGTTCTCCGTGGAACAGCTCCTGGCTCTCATGCCGATGCTTATCGCGCACCTCAAGTCGGAGCACGTGAGTGCCTTTCGTGGCGGAATCCTCGACTCTCTTCGTCTCCCTCCTCCTCACGTTGTCATCACCATCGGTTCCATGCATAACCCTTCTGTTCAGCATCGGTTTGTTTTATTGAAGTGTGTGCCCTTTTGCGGGCGTTTTGCCCGTGACCACGGAAGGCGTCCGCGTCAGTTGGACCGGTACGGATGCCACAGAGGTACTGGGCAGACATCGGAACAATTTCTATGACGTCACAAGGACAACCTTCGCATTAGTTGCGTGCTAGTGTACGGGAGATCAGGCAACTAGCTATCGCGGCAGGCATGCGAGCGGTTGTTTTCATGTATCCTGCGGTCTATTGTAGGCTCCGCCGATTCCATGTTGGAGTACGTGTTTGTGTGTCGTCATTGGTGCTGCGGCTGCGGCTGCTGCTGCGGCTGCGGCTGCTGCTGCTTTTGTTGTTGTTGTGGTTTCCGTTGGCTACACGCACGCTGTGACTCATTTATTTAATCTTCCCGCCTCGCTTCACATGGTCACAGACGGTGGTGTTGACCTACGCAGCCATGACGATCGAGCGTATGCTGGCCGTCAAGGATAAGGTCCCGGGGCAACGACCCACCCTCCGCCTGCCGAAGGAAAGCCTCACCCCGTTCTTGGAAAGCCTTTTCACCGGCCTCTTCGCGGTGAGAGAGCAGAGAGAGAGAGAGAGAGAGAGAGAGAGAGAGAGAGAGAGAGAGAGNNAGAGAGAGAGAGAGAGAGAGAGAGAGAGAGAGAGAGAGAAGCGACAGAATTGTCTTGTGCAGCGACAACATTTTTTGGTTCATGGTCGATCAAGTTTTTTTCTGTCAAAAGGTGTCGAGAGAGGGAAGATCATGAACCCAACCACAAACGTCAAGTGTGTGTTTTCTTGTACTTAAACTGGTGTTCGATGTAATTTGTTTTTGACGTGTCTTGTTGGCTTAAGCACGAGGCTATAGTGGTACTAATATTGTGCACCGTAAGAAGTACTGCACGGTGTGATACTTCAAATGTGTTGGTTGTTGGCGAACCAAAGCAACACTGCTGTGTCTTTCCAAGACGGGCTGTTTTGCCCGTGTTTGTTGCTTTGACGTGTCTGAAGAGTTTTGTTGACTTGCATTATGAGCGTTTCTAAGCTGTGCTGTCCGAGTCGTTCATGTGGCTTCGCGTTAGTCCCGTGTCTGTCGTATGATTATTTCGCTGCACCTGGTAGATAGAGTAGATCGAGAGGCGAACCGTATCATCTTCTCACGGCATGATGGTTTTGTATTGCTTTCAGCTCTTAGGTGTTTTTTTCCACCGTAGTGCCACGCAGCGCGCCTTGTCAATCGCTTGTACCAAGAAGCGGAAAAACATGCACAGGCGAAAAATGCACGATAAGAGCATCATATGTGTGACATGGTGTTTTTTTGTTGTGTTCAGCTGTCAGGTGTTTTGTGCCACACATGCAACGCCTTAAGAAAGGCGGAAATGAGCACTGTTGTGCTGAAGGTGTGTGACGGGTTATCGGTTGCGCTGTTGTCAGGTGATGGACCAGGAAGGCGAGAACGACCACCTCATGAAGGCGGTCATGCGGGCACTTAACTCCGCTCAGGAGAAGGTCCTCCCGATCACACAGGTTTGTGAATTTTGTCGAGGCTGATGGTAAGTGGTTCTGGCAGCAGATTTACGTACCGATGATGTCGCAGGGATGGTCCGGGGGTGTGTGTGGCTTTGATGTTTCACGGACAATATTTTAGGTTCGGTTCGTGTGGTTTTCACAAAGGGGTAAGCGTCTTGGGCATCAATCACGTGGGGCCGTGCTATGCAGTGAATGGTGTGATTGTGTGCTGGTCATGAAAAAGAAAAGATGGTCATGTAGCGATTGCTTGTTGATGGCGTACCGAACGTACCCCTTATCGGGTTTAAAAGGCGAAGTTCCCCCGAAAAACCTTGCAAATCCATGCGGTGCACCAACGGTCCATCGGCAAGACGAACTGACGACTTAATTGAGAACCCACACCGATGTTGGATTGAATTTGCTTTGGTGGCGATGGCAGAGCAACCGCGATGGCCTCTATGATTGCCGTCCCCGTCCTATCCGTACTCGTTCGTGTAATGATTGAGTCCTGATGGACAATGTCGTTAAACTCGTGGTGTGCACATCTACGACGGCTTCGCTTTCGCTTTAACCCCGCAGGTGGTCCTCACGAAGCTGAACGGCTACCTGGAGCGCGTGTGTAAGAACCCGTCGCGACCGCGGTACAACCACTTCCTCTTCGAGTCCATCGCGGTCTTGGTGCAGCAGTGCCTCAAGAGCGACCCGAGCACCGCCACCATGCTCGAGGGGACCCTATTTCCCCCCTTCCAGCAGGTGATACGTGTTAGATAGCAAGGCAGTTGTGCATGTGTGGGCGCGTGTGTGACAACCTGCGGTGGTGTTTCATAGTACTTCAAAGTTCGGTGCCAAGTTGGATAATTTTTGGTGTCTTGAGCGACTCGTGGAGAGCGGAGGATCGTGTCTTGGTTTGCAATATACGCGTCGGGACGATAATTGACGGCGCTTTTGTACGGTTGCAGAGGTGTGGTGAGTTGCAGTGTTCCATTTTCGTTTTTTTTTTTTTTTTCGCGACCGATCAGAAAAGAAAAATGACGAAAAAGAAAGAGGCTCATCACAGACAGAACCAATCTCGACCATCTTGGTGTGCGTGTAAGGCTCACCCTGTTTGATGTGCCGCGGGAATCGCTTACAAGCTTGGGTCCAAATTCTGCCTCTGATCGTTACCGTTCGTTGCAAGAAGGATTCACCAACACGACTCTGTCCATGACAGGCTTCGTTGACACCTTGTGTGACGGTACCGGCCCGCTGTTGAACATCGTTCTCGGGAGGGCTTATATAACCGCCACCGTCTGATGACAGAATCGGTATTGGAGTAAAGTTATAGGATGTAGGTTAGGATCCACCGTTGAGCAGTACTTCCTACCCTCGACTTGTTTTTTTTTTCTGGGGGGAAAATGAGCCTGTTTTTCACAATAGCGTAGACCGTACTGTATTTTTCGTGTTTTCCCGTCTATTGCTCTGCTTGCGCTCGTCTTTTATGCTTCACGTTCGGCTATCTCTCAACTGACGCCCCTCCCTGGTGCACCATGGTGCGTCACCCCCAGGTCCTGGCAAACGACGTTGTGGAATTCATGCCCTACGTGTTCCAGATCTTCTCGCAGCTCTTGGAGCTCAGACCTGCCGGAGAATTCAGCGCCGTGAGTGGCGTCGCTTGGAGCGACCAATGCTCCCTTTGTTTGGACATTTGTTGGAAGCGTTTGGTTGGAAGACATCGCTGTTTTCCGCAGTCGCGGCTAGGGTTGGGCTACGGCAGTATGAATAGAAGCATAATAGAAGCATCAGTTAACCGTTCGTGAGCTGTGCCGAACGATCGTAAGTCGCTCAGACAGGGGTCTGTTTTCCCTCGCTCGCTTCGTGGCTTCGTCTGCGTTCGATCACGAAAACGTCCAACGTCGTCCACGGTGCAATCTGACGCCGAACTGCGGTTCGAAATCTTGGGGGCTTTCGTGAAAAAAAGGATCTGTTACGGCTTCCAGTGTCGTGCCAGAAA